TGTTTGTTTTACTATTTTGGTATAAACAATCCTCAGCTCAACTTGGTGTTTTGCTTAGTCACTGCCATGTGTCACATCCCAGTGGGCTTGGGCTCACAGTACGCATTTTTCTTGTCAATCACCACAAATGACTTTGGATCAGATAATATTTCACAGCATTAAACAACATAACAACATATGGAAAAGACATAATGGCAAAATGGATCCAAAATAAATTATAAGATATTAAATTCCATTGCTGGTCTACAAATAACAACAAATCATTGTTGTTAATTCCAGACTATTACAACTAGCTGCAGGGGCCCCAAAAGTGTCCACATGCACGAACATCACTCATCCTCATGTCCATTACTGATAAATATTTTTATTCTAAATTATTGTTCACTGGCACTTAGAAAAGGATTAAGTTATTTTTCATTCTTTTGTGCCAGCTCCTCTCAGTAGATACGTATTCCATCTGTACTACTCTATGTATATTTTTGCAAATGCTGCTTAACTAGCTAAAGAAATCTTTAAAATTTCAGGGCAAGCATCCTTTTATCTTTCCCAGAGAATGCCTGAGTTATCTTTGGCCACATCATAAATAGATTCCACTAGTAAAAGAGCAAATCAATAACTAAGGCAGCTAGACCACCTCTCAATGACCTCGTTCTAAGTGTCTCTCTGTCTTTTAAGAAAGTAAGAATATTCACAAATGAAATAAAGAATCAAATGCATTTTCTTGCTACAAAATGTCCATGATTATGAAATAGATTGTTGTCTGTCTTTAATAAAACAAGGAATTACTGCTGAACGTCAACCCTTCATTTTATATGCGTAAAAACTACTCTAAAAGGAGTTAATTAGTTTTAACATTCTAAGAACTCCTACATCTATTCATTTGAAAATAATTTTTAGTTAAACTAAAGGCATAGCAACAGCACAGGAGGAACATAAATATAAGTGAACCAGTTGTTTCACCATCAAAACGTCAATAATATAGAAAAAATAAGAATAGGCTTGAGAGAAAACTGTGAGCTGAGATAACGTAACCCTCACAAAATAAATTCAGGATGTTTCAAAAATTGAAAAATCTCGCACTGTGTCTCATTTTTACAAGTTGCCTGATCCACACTCTCTGTCCTCTTAATTTTTATATTTTCATTCATGACATAGTTTTCTACTTGGTCAGAGTCAGAAATTTAGCTTTGTCTTTAATTTCTTTTGCCTTTTTCCTCCCTGTTACAATGACTTAGGAACTTACAGGATAGAATTTCATGGAAATGTCTCTTGAGACTAACCCTCCCTCTGAATAAAGTATAACTACCCAGAGTGGAA